CTATTAGGATTTGGAGGCATTCACTCAGCCACCTCTGCTCAGACCAGCTATCGTTTCCCCTGAACCACTAAGGACACTCAGCCTTGCCACAGACTGACATAGTAAAACCAACCACAAAACATGGCAAATTGGATGGAATTATTTCTCAGTCTTCTCCAAAGGCACCTTTATACTCCATTCAAATTTCCCATTCATTTGTTATCCCCCACCCAACACCCTAGCTGAAGCCATGAGGCTTAGACCGAAGGTGAAAAACCAAAGGACACAGGCCTAGTTTACAGCTACAGGAGAATGAGGAGGGATGAAGTGGCAGAATGCTGAGACGGTCTATACCCACTTCAGGCAACAGGTAATAAGATCCCAGCTTTGAATCTTCCTTTATTATGTATAAATCCAGGCAATAAGAAAATTGCCACAGCAGGGAGAAAGTCTTTACTCCCTTCTCCAGGCTTGCAGTGCTGGCTTTGTATTTTCAGGTCGTTTTCAACATAGGTAAGCCTTCCACAATGTGATCTTCTGTGATCCTCCACTTGTGGTCTGACATGATGCAGCCCAATCTGCCACCTCAGCATTCTACCACCATGTATTCATGTACAGCTGAGGAATTATTGGAGGAAGACAGCCTTGATGGGAAGTACCTCTTCAAAAATAGTTTTGAAGCAAATGTCACCAGACATGATTATTTTTGTACTTTACCTTTGTCTCAGTCCTATTCTCCTGAATAGACAGTAGAAGAAGATAGTTGGCAGAACAATATCAAAGGACAGATGACATTAAATAGGAAGAAATATTCCTCAGTATGTCAAATATGGAATAAATATATCTCCACTATGACACCATGGTCTCAAGGTTAGGAAAAGAAGACTGAAATTTGCTTTTGCAAGATCTCTAAGAAGGAAGGAAGGCTTTGTGAGTCTCTGGTGAAATGAGGGGAAGCTACTTTCAGGAAGAGGCAGGAGTCATTTGTGAAGCATTCACTTTCCTCCATTTCTGTTCTTGAGGTTGCCTGTTGTTTTGAAGGCTGAGGTAGCTCCAATAACCTGTCCTCACTAGGAAAGGATGCAGCTTTAATTAGGGAAACGGCTTCTTCAAGAAATCATCTGGTAGGATTGAGAGGCCATAAAAAACATTACTGGTGTGCCAATCTCAGCAAATTCTTTTAAGGAATGGCTGGCCTTCAGATGTCTATATTGGGATTAGTTCTTAGTTCCAAAGGTTAATCAAATGAAGTCATGGTCTCTAATCACATCCTCTTCACGTCATTTGCTTTGTATGGATCAATGAAAGCTAGATTTTTGAAAGCACTGATACATGTAGCTCAGTCATTACATAAATCTGAGAGCAGGTGGAAAAGCTGACCTAATTCCTTTTTCCCTGTTATTGGTTTGGATGTGTGAGTAAAATATATCATATTATGAAAAGGCTCCAGTGCCCAGTAGCTTTAAACACTTTATGTGATTCACAGCTACATGAACTCAGACCCTCTGTATAAAGTTTTGAACTGGTCTTGTCACTGAAACCTTGATTTTAACTCCTTCCATGTGAGTACATCAGTATTATAAATTAGTTTATTGGAAATGTCTCTGACAAACATTAGTATATTATTCCTTCTGGTTCTAAAAGCAAATAGTTCTTCAGACTTACTGGAATGAGAAGAGAGGGGATTCCCTTGTGGCATTTATTGAACATTGTTCTGCGAATAGCACATCTAGCTAAATGCTTGAGTGATCTTGGTGTATTTCCACACACCTCAAAAAGAGACTCGTAGAAATCCCTGTACAACTGCAAGGATAAAATAAAACATGGTTAGATCAATATCATCTCTCTCCTGTACATATCCAAAGACTGAAAAAAACATGTTTTCCATTTTCAGCACTATATTTTTTCACAGTTCCTTTAGTGATCTCTAAAATAGTCTGAAGCCAACTATTTTGACCTTCCAAGTCACTTTGGTGTAAAAGAAGAGAAGAGTGTTTCCTTTCATCTCAAATAGTTCAGTGTCTCTAATCAGAGAGAGAGATCTATAATTCTAATAAGCAAGAACTGGAAACATAGTGAAAAATAAAGGTGAGTCTAGGGGATTATATTGAGCAGTCCCAAAGAGAGAGAGAGAAACATGGCCTTTGGGCCCTGTTCACAAATTCCATAAGGGTCCAGGTGCTCTCTTTATATAATGACAGATGGGAAATGTCCCAACAGAGCCATGGTTGAGATGGTACGCATATATAGGTCTCTCTTCATGTAAAGGTTTCCTCACAACAGTAGAAGTTCCCTAAGAGCCAAGGAACAAAAGGAAGGAATTCTTCCACCAAACAGGTTCTTAACCACTCCACAGGTTGTATTCCGCTCTGGAACAGCTGTTATTTTCCTTGAAGGAATGACAACACTGCCTCAATGTTGTAATGACACTGTGGAAACATTTTCTAGATTGTCACCTCCAAAGAACTGACTTCAGCTCTCTCTCTACAAGTTTCTTCCTCTAAGTTCTCTCCACCCCCCTTCCCCACCCCATTCCAAGAATGAACCAGTCAGGCCTCTTTATTTCCTGTCAGGCAATCTTAATAACACATGACCTGGTCCCAGGCTAGCCTGATCTTGTAAGATCTCAGAAGGTAACCAGGGATTGGCCATATATGGAATAGGTCAGTATATGGAAGGAAGACCACCAAAGAATACCAGGGTTGTGACATGGAGGCAGGCAATGGCAAACCACCTCTGAATGTCTTCTGCCTTAAAACCTCACAGGCTCACCATAAGACAGCTGTGACTTGATGTAAAAAAAAATTGTAGTAACATAGAAGATGTTTGATCATACCAGCATCTTGTTTCCCATAGTGGTTAGTCAGCTGTTCTAGAGGGCCAACAATCAGGGCCTCAAGGCCAAGGTGTTCCTTCAGTATTACCTCCTAGCAATGGTATTCTGAGGTTTGATGACTATGAAGGTTTCCTTCAGTCACCATAATTAGTAGCCATTGATTAACATATCCTCCATGAATCCCTGTTAACAGCCTTCTTTGCTCATGTCCATCATTACATTCACTGGCATGGAATACCACAATGTAACCACTTCTTGAATCAAAAGTTATTCCCTTCTGTCTTTCTTGAATTTATTGCCCATCAGCTGCCTCAGGTAACCTTGAGTCATAGTATTATCAAAGAGGGAGAAAAGCTTCTCTCTATCCATCTTCTGTTCTCCACAGATAATTTTATAAATTTTTCCCAGGTCCCCTCTCGTTAGGCTTTCCCCCCCTATGGTTCTGTACATGTTCCAGCTTTGCAGTATCAAGACCAAAACTGTACACAGTATTCCAAATGTGGCTGCACTATAGATTTATAGAAGGGCATTACAACATTGGCTGTCTTATTTTTATTTGCTTTCCTAATAATCCATAGAATGGAGTCTGTCCATTTTACCTTCACAGAGGCTCTCCAGAAATCACCTCTATCCAGATGGCATTGTTGCTGAACCTAGACCCACGATGTGGGGGAATGCAGTCTATAAATATTTTAGTAATAATAGATACATCATTTCTTAAAGGCCTCCGTTTATATAAATGTGTTCCATCTTTAAGATGCCACAGCCTTTTTGTTTTTGTTGCAACCATCTAACACAGCTGTCCCACAGAATTACTTTTTAAAGTTGTTTCCACATAAAGGTTCTCCTCTGGTTTGGCAGCCAAATTGGAGCAGGTTTCTTCAAAACGTCCATAGATATTACATTGTCTCTTAATTGTCCAGTTTCTGGATTTCCCCCTGTTTTGCTACGAACTTTGCCAAACCTGGTTTGATACAATCTTATTGTAAAGATCATAGTCAAACTGTGGATGGGAAGGTGTGCATTTGAAGGTTCCACCAACACTGGCACTGTTTTTCTTGGCTCAGCTCCCCCTGTGGCCACCATTTTCTCTTATGCATCAGAGATCCTTTTCAGGCTTTTAAAAAATCAGTAATTCCTAGATTGCTATAGCATTATGACATTATGTTCAAGTTAGATTTTATTTTGATACAAAATCAGCTCCGGAGAGTCAACAGTAGTAAAAAAGAATACACATGCAGTGCAACAAGTACAAAACAATGAGCACGGATTAAGAGGGGGACAGAGAAGATAATACCCTCCTCTGTCAGACAGGGAAAATTATTGGGTCTCAATCCACCACTTGCATATCTCACGCACCCATAGGGAGAATTTGGCAACTTTATTAGTTATCTCCAGGGAAGAGTCTGCAAAGAGGAGAGAGACATAAACTTGTTCAGATCTTCTCAGTAAAGTTGACAAAATTGGCGAAATATACTGTTGTTGGATGTTATTATAGAATGGGCAATGCAGCAGAACATGTTCAATAGACTCTACTTTCCCTGTATGACATGGCCAAAGCTGTTGAGGAAGTGGCACACAGTGGTATCTGCCTTCCAGGAGGGTTGAAAGTAGAGCATTAAAGTGTGCCAGGTTAAAGATTCTCTGATATTTGGAGATCTCAAGGGATTTAAGCTAATCTGCTGGTTGAAAACACTTAACATGACTGGATATTTCTGTATATCTGGTTGTAGGCCATGATCCCAGAGCCAGTCTGTGATTCCAGACAATCTATTGCCATAATCTACTACTTCTTCTGAATCCCTAGTTATTTGTTTTAAACAAAAAATCTCTAGCCTTTCACATTGTGGGGGGAAATGCTTGTTGGAAATTCAGAGGAACCCAGACCATAGCAATATATAATTATAATGTTGTAACACTAGAGCACAATTGGAATCACCAATTTTTTAAAGGTCCAAAAATACCCTCCAGTGGCAGTGATGGGGAAACACAGTGGCAGCTGGAGGAAGAAAATGCACATAAATCTCCCATGGGGATGCTCTACAGCTAGTACTAATACTTCTGCATTCACAGCAGTGATGACAGGGAAACAGAGAATCCTTAATCTGTGGGAGCAGTTTTAGTGACTGAGCTTTTTTGAGACAGCCAATATTTTCTCCATAACCACTGCAAACTTTCTTTCCAGTCACTGAAGCTGCAGAATAATATGGATGAAGTTAAGTACTTCTGAGCCTTGCGGACTTCAGTGAAAGGAAATAAGCACGTGCTTTAATTTCTCGGATTGAACCCCACTTGGCTTAAGCGGCTGGTCCCAAGACTCCATTAAACATTTACCTCAAAGACATCATCAGGTACGGCTGCTCTCCATTTTGATGTGGACTTAATGTGTTCATATGAATTCGCAATGACCTCAATTACTTTGGGATAGGAGTAACAGCTCTGCAGAACCTGCAAACAGAAAGACAGGCCCCCACCTGGTTGGGATGTTACTGTTCTCTAGCAACCTTTTCTCTCTGAAACCATCTCCTTCGTAGAAGTATTGACACTTGCCTTTGCACCTACAGATTGCCATGAGAGTGAAGAACCTATTATGTAAGGTGGTATTTTGAGAATTTCAGCTTTGTTTGTACTTTAAAAAAACCATATCTAGTCCTCAAGGTTATGAAGAGAAGTTTGTCACCGTAGAAATTATTCTATGCCTCCTCCCTCCATCATACTCTTCCTTGCAAAAAGGAATTCTTAATTAATTGAAAGCCTAAATCATAGGAGCAGAATAAATTATGCAAGACTAAAAAAAATGTCTTACAGAAGACTTAATATGTGCATTTTGGAATTGCTGTTCAGTGAATGCAGTTCTTTCTTTCGCAGAATACCCATGGTTGTTGGCAGGTGATAGTCACCATATAATAACTCTGGGAGGTTACCAAAGTCCTTGCCACCATCGATCCTGTAAAAATGGAATGGGGTTTTTGTAGGCCATGATCTCAGAACCCTGCCTAACCTAACAAACAGGAAGTTGCTTAAATGTTATCAACCTGCCCAAACTACTTATTTATTCAAATATTTATATCCCACTTTTCCCTGTGACTCAAGGCAGCTTACAAATCATACTGAAAAGCATAATAGGGGTGTGCAAAAAAGAAACAACCAATTTTTTCTGGCTCCATTAAACCTATGGGGGCCATTACAGTCAATGGGCCCTATAAGCTATAAAAGGAGAATCAATCCAAGGGTATCTGGGGCTCTGAGGGGCTGTTTTATTGAGGCAGAGGCACCAAATTTGCAGCATAGCTGCTGGTGCCTTTCCTCAAACCCCCCCCCCCAAAGTTTAAAAATAGCACAACTTAGAGGGAACTGTGGCAATGACCAGTGCAATCCTATGCAGCCTTACTCCTGGCTATAGCCATTGATTTCTGTGGGTTGAAATCAGAATAACTGCATAGCATTGCATTATACATACCACATTACAGAGAAGGTCTAGGGAGAACTGGCATATGAATTACCTTTTCCCTCCTTTCCCCAGATGCTCATATAGGGGATAGAAGGGTTTGCTTTTTTATAAAAATGGGAATGCATGGATAAGGAGAGCTAAACCCTGTGCCCGCTTGCTCCTCATCCTGTATCTCTCCATCCATCCATGGCAAGGCATTTCTCACCTTGCCTGGTACACAACTCCTCCTTTACTACATGTAATGCTAACTCTGGCTCTGACTCATACATCTGATTGCAGCTCAGTACAAGCACCTCACTATGTGTCACGACCTTCACAAGAATGTAAACCATAAAGCATATCTTTCTGTAACAGATACTAAGAAAAATTATTTTGCATAAGAAAACCACAATGGTCATGACTGGCTATAGCCCTCAAGCCACCTTTTCCAGGAAAGTCTAAAGAACAACCTTAGGATAGCACTGCAAGCGGCATAAGGCATATTGTCTCACTATTAGAAATATAAACTGTTGTTGAAAAGCTGGTGCCTTAACCCATCTATACCTTGTGGCTAATAGCCACTGATGGACCTCTGCTCCATATGCTTATCTAATTCCCTTTTGAAGCCGTCCATGCTTGTAGCCGCCACCACTTCCTGTGGCAGTGAATTCCATGTGTTAATCACTCTTTGGGTGAAGAAGTACTTCCTTTTATCCGTTCTAACCCGACCGCTCAGCAATTTCATGGAGTGCCCACGGGTTCTTGTATTGTGAGAAAGGGAGAAAAGTACCTCTTTCTCTACCTGCTCTTTCCCATGCATAATCTTATAAACCTCAATCATGTCACCCCTCAGTCGTCGTTTCTCCAAGCTAAAGAGCCCTAAGTGCTTTAACCTTTCCTCATAGGGAAAGTGTTCCAACCCTTTTATCTTTTGAGTTGCCCTTTTCTGCACTTTTTCCAAAGCTATAATATCCTTTTTAAGGTGTGGTGACCAGAATTGCACACAGTATTCCAAATGAGGTCTCACCATTGATTTATATAGGGGCATTATGATATTGGCTGATCTGTTTACAATACCCTTCCTAATAATCCCCAGCATAGCATTGGCCTTCTTTATTGCAGTCACACACTGTCTCGACATTTTCAGTGAGTTATCTACTACAACTCCAAGATCTCTCTCTTGATCAGTCTCTGCCAGTTGTATAAAATCTCAATGTGATAGGGAGAAAGCTAAACTAGAACGTTTCTCCTTGGCATAGTGGATTTTCTTACATGGTGAGTTTTTGACTGGAGGGGTGCAGCAGCTATTGCAGAACAGCTAGCCACATTGTGGGCAGGAATAATTACATGCATTTCATTTACATGCATTTATAATTACATGCATTTCATTCTTTAAGAGAGAGCTGGTGCGGTGTAATGGCTAGCTGAGAGAATTGCATATAGTCATGCAAGCTCACTGGGAGGCCTTGGGCCTGTAACATTCTTTCAACCTAACCTACCTCACAAAGATAAAGTCAGAAGGGAAAGGATGTGATAAACTGCTTTGGGTCACCATTGGGGAGATGTTGGGTATAAATAAAAATATTAACCTCATATTAACTTTTGAGTGCATATATCCAAGGTGGAAGAGCAGCAGTTATAAAGTATAGCCATATTTATTTCAACTATTTCTACCCAACCTCCCCAAAAACCTGGCTCATGGTGGATTTCTTTTTCGCCAGCACAGAGATTACAATGTGAATTAAACTATAATCTTGTCTAAAAGCAAGAAAGAGGATTGGCCTACTCTCTGGCTTTAGGGGAACCAGATGATAGTCTTATGATGATGTATAGGAGCTTGCTGTAAAACTGTATGTTACAACATCAACACTGACATCCTAAACATGGTTATATCCTTGTAAACCAATTTACTTTAATGGAAGAGTTTAGGATTACACTCCCAATCTCCAAACTGAATTGGCACTGGTTCAAGCCCTGTTCTGGAGATGGCGCACCTCTGTCACACTGTTCCCTGTCACTCAATTTACAGAAGTACAACTGCACATACACCAAGACTAAATGTTCACCTTATGGAATTGTGGAGGATATATCCTGGCAGCTCCATAATTGAGAAGCAACTGGTAACAAATTTCATGCTGGGCACTTGGCCGCACCGATGTCACCTTGAGAACATACTGCAAAGGACCGCAGCCGTTGTCATCCATCAGGTTGGGTTCTGCTCCTGCCTCAAGCAGCATGTCTATCAGTACACAGTCACAGTTCCAGGCAGCCTTATGGAGTGGTGTTCTGAAGTCCTCGTCCCGCGAATTAACTTCAGCTTTGTAGTCGAGCAACATCCTACAGATCAGATGGTGAGCCGTGCTGTATGTCTGTTCCCTAATGTTGCAGGCCCAGTAGACTGCGCAAGCCAATGGAGTTTCACTGTGGGCATTAGTAGCATCAACTGTAGCACCCTGCTCTACATAAAATGCCACCATTTCAGGGATGCCAGAACGAGCAACTGTGTGGAGGGGAGTTTCTTCCTCTGGATTGTTTGTTTTTATATTCACATCTGCACCTTTTTGAAAGGAAAATAAAAGGAAAAAGTTGGAAAGATGCACATTTAGCCTGAGTTCAGATGTTCAGATTTGCAGTTTTGTTTTCATTTTTTAAAGTTGCTTCAAGAATATGGGAGAGTAAGGTTTGGGACATCTGTAAAGCTGCTTCTCCTACAGTGAAACAGTTTTTTTAAAAACTCCCCTTCTGAAAAGGGGAGGAGCAAAGTTTGTGACTAACACAAGGGCTGACCAATCTGTACTGTGTTGAAAACGAAAACAGGTTTCTTTTGCGTTTATTCCAAGGGAGAATTGTGACTAACACAAGGGCTGACCAATCTGCACTGTATAAATTTGTCTTGTGCTGAAAACAAAAACAGGTTTCTTTTGAGTTTATTCCAAGGGAGAACACACATGAAAACTTCCTTATACTGAATCAGATTCTTGATCTCTCAAGGTCAGTATTGTCTACTCCGACGAGAAGCAGCTTTCCAGGGTCTCAGGCTGAGGTCTTTCACATCACCTACTTCCTGTTCCTTTCTACCGGAAATGCCAGAGATTGAACCTGGGACTTCCTGCATGAAAAGCAGAGGCTCTGCCTCTGCACCACAGCCCTTCCCTCTAATATGGCTGTATGTCTGTCAGAAATGTTGCCAGTCTTCTTCCATAGTCTGCTTTCCGCTGCAATTCTCTTTGTCTGCACACCCGGTTTTCAAAATATACATATTTTCTGAGCTCTGTAATACTATAATAACCTTTTTTCTGGTTAAGTGTAATGTTTACCAGGATTAATACTTTAAAAATTTTAAACATTCCCTCAGAATCTTTACTTAGAGACACTAAACTGTCTTAGATAAGGAAGGGTTTCAGAGCTTCCAAAATAATGACAGACTATCATGAGTGTATAACCCTCCTGGAGTTCTTGTGGAATCACGAGGTCCTCCTGGAGGAAATGGTGGCTTCAAGGGGTAGAATCTATAGCATCACATCCCTGATAAACTCCCTTCCTTCCCCAGGTTCCATGAATTTCCCAAACCAGAGCTGACAACCCTACCCTCCGGAGATTGTTCCACTTCAGAAAGCACATTTGGATCCCCATGTTTGTATACAGACATCCAAAATGTGTATAAAATCTCAATGTGATAGGGAGAAAGCTAAACTAGAACTTTTCTCCCTGGCATAGTGAGACTCTTACATGGTGAGTTTTTGACTGGAGGGGAGGCATTCTGTATGCCATCTCTCATACCGAGCTAGCACAGCCGTGAGAGCGTAACATTAGGGATAAGCATGAACTGGTTCACAAACTAAAGTTTGTCACAGATTTTGGGCAGCTTGTGACGCAGTGTTCACAAACTAAAGAACTACCATGAACTTTCATGAATTTTGG